CTGATGGTGTTACTTAGTTGGGTTATGAAACATCTGCAAGAAAACCATTTAAACTCAGAAGGCACCAAGAGCGCTAGGTTTCCCCCTCCTCCTCCCTTCTAGCACTGATGATATTCCCTACTTGGGTCATGAAAGGTCTGCAAGAAAACTACCAAGCTCAGAGTCCCTGCTTGGAATTAAATGAAGGTCACTGGGGCTCACTTGTTTTCTTGCAGATGTTTCATTGCTCAAAGCAGAAGTTATCGGCGCAAATAAGGGTTCACAGAATTAAAGCTCCACGGGAATCAAGAATGATTTGACTTAAGTCTGCTTGTCCCAAAAGTGCTTTTTTTTTTTCAAGAGACAACAGGACTTTCTGGTTTTTTTTCCTTTCGAAGACGTTTCGCTTCTCCTCCAAGAAGCTTCTTCGGCTCTGACTGGATGGTTGGGAAGGGAAGGATTGATACTCCTTGCAGGCAGCTGGTCATCTGCAACCTTTGAGAGGGTCCTTGAGGCCACGTGGAGATATGTATGTGTCCTCAGGGTCACCTGAATTTGGTGCAAATGGGTGTGGAACCTTCACCACATCCATTGCCATGAAAACATCCTGCAGCCAGGAAGGCTCCACAACCATCTGCACTACTCAGATCACCCTGAGGACACAGATAAAACCTCCAAGTGGCCTCAACGACCCTCTCAAAGGATGCAAATGACCAGCTGCCTGCAAGGAGCCTAAATCCTTCCCTTCCCCACCATTCAGTCAGAGCTGAAGAAGCTTCTTGAATGAGAAGCAAAACGTCTTCATGGAAAAAAACAGAAAGTCCAGTTGCCTCTTGAAAAATATAAATCACCTTTGGGCCAACCATGACCTGGAGGGCTAAGGATCTCCATAGACTCTTCGTCTGTTTGTGACTATGAAGGGATTCTAGGCTGCTGCCTCTTTTGACCCCTCCACCAGTAGCCCACCAATAACGTCCTGCCTTGAGACATGTAATCCCCAACGCCGGATTCCTTACGTGTCTCTTGGTGATGTTCCTAACGTCATGCACGTATCTGATGTTTCCTTCATGCCGCACTGTCCCCACCGAGATGGAGTCCTCGCAGATCTCCGAGGCGATGTATTTCTCCACCTTGATGCCGAGATCCCGCAGGACCAGGTAACCTGGGAAGGCAGAAAAGTCTGGGGTGACAAAAGGATCCCTTGGGAGGGCGTGGCGAGGCCTTACCGAAGAGCACTCAGACCGGGAAAAATCCACCTTGTGCTGCGCAGGGGGGTGGGGGGGGGGAGAAACGACGTGCCACCCTCACCTTCTCATGGTGACCCTGTAATATTTGTGCTTGTAAAACGCCACAAAATGATTCCTCCCCCCGGTACGCAAGTGTGCAGGTAGTCCTCGGTTTACGATCACAATGGAGCCCCCAAATTTAGGTCACTAAGCGAGATGGCTGCTGAGCGAATTCTGCCCCGTTTTACATCCTTTCTCGCCTCAGTTGCTACGTGAATCGCAGCAGTGATTAAGCAAGTCACACGGTCAAGTGAATCCAAATTCCCCCATTGACTTTGCCGGTGTTGTGGCCAGCTGGCAGCAGGTGTGGACATCTGAGGAAGAGCGAGGACTCAGGTGAGGGACCGGGACCATTAGGGAGTGGACTGCTGCCTTCGGAGATGGTGGGGGCTGGCAGCAGCAATGAGGAGGTTCCCGAGGAGACTGTGCCAAGTGCAAAGTATGCACGCAGGGCTGCTGGCAGGAAAGAGCAGTTACAACAGCACGGGCGACTCAGGAGTAAGGCTGCAAGGTGATGGCCCCTCCTTCAAGAAGGTAAAAGCCAGCTGTGAATTGGATGTTCTTTGCAGGAAGCAAAGACGTTTTGAAACTCAGCCTCATGGACATTACAGTATCTTAAGTTGATATTTGAAGACTCTTGTGGTGTGAACTATTTTTTATCTGTTTTTCTTGGCAGACTAGCACAGTTTTGGCGAGGCTCGTGCTTATCAAAGTTAATTAGTTTGCAGCAGCCTTTTAACCGAGGATTCATAAGACTCATTGAAAGGTTTCTGTTCCCTTTTGGTTCGTGTTGGTTTTATTGGAAAGGGGTTTGGGTCGGAACAGCTGGTCAGAAGGTCACAAAAAGGGGATCACAAGATCTCCCAGGACTCTGCGACCATCATAAAATACGAGTCGGTTGCCAAGCGCCTGAATTTTTCAACCTGCGGCCACAGGGGATGCTGCAACGGTCATTAAGTGTGAAAAATGGTCCTAAGCCCCTTTTTTTCAGGGCCGTTGTAACTTTTGAACAGTCACTAAATGAATCGTTGTAAGTCGAGGGCTACCTGCAGATAGGAGGAGATATACAGGTAGTCCTTGAACTTACGACAATCGAGCCCAAAATTTCCACTGCTAACGAGACGGCTGCTAAGTGACTTTTTTGTCCCGTTTTACGACTTTCCTTGCCCCCATTGTTAAAGCAATCACTGCAGTCGTTAAGTGAATCTGGCTTCCCCGTTGACCTTACTCATCAGGTGGTCACCAAAGGGGATTTCACGTAACCCTGGGATACCGTCATAAATACGAGTCAATGGCCCAGAGTTGAATTTTGATCTCGTGACTCCCAGGGAATGCTGCAGTGGTCGTAAGTGTGAAACAGTCCTAGCTTAAATCTTTTTTTCAGTGCCGTTGTAGCTTCAAACTGTTACTAAGTGAAGTTGAGGACTACCTGTACACGCCAGATGAAATGACTATCAACCGAATGTAGTGAGTTACAGGAAGGAAACAACGTGGTTGATAAAAGAAGGGAGAAGAAATCTTCTATATATATATAAAAAGCAAAATACCCCTCACGCATCATCACAAAATCTCCAGAACCGTCAAGCCTACAAACTTGAAATTTGGCACACAGGTTCCTCTTGGCTTCTAGGGGCTCACTAAGAAAGGATTTTTCGAAAAGACCATCATCAGTATTTCCTATATTATTAGTAGTAGTAGTATTAGTATTATTAGTATTATTATTATTACTATTAACACGCTCTGATGCTAAGGAGTTCTACTCCCCGTCCCCACCTGAAAAGAAATCTCTTCCAAAGGCAAAACACAAGCAGAGGAATTTCCGTTTCGGCTTTAGGACAGAACAGTTGAGCTAAGCCACGCCCAGGCTCCTTGCTGTCTCCTCCTTGCTCACCCAACCAAATACTCTTTCCGTTTCCAAACAGCCCTCAACTCTCTCACCCACTGACAGGACGCTAGCCCAGATGAATACCAATGGATGCTGGTAGGTAGAGGCAGAATTTTGGCCCCCTTATTTTCTTCCCCCAAAAAAACTACACCCCACCACATAGTTTCGTAGCGAAGGACAGGTATGCAGCTACTGATATATATATATGTGTGTGTGTGTGTGTGTGTGTGTGTGTGTGTGTGTGTGTGTGTGTGTATATATTTATATATATATATATATACACACACACATACATACATACACACACACACACCCAAACTCTGTGGAGGAAGACGGGGATAGAAATGACGGTGGGCCTCGCCACCTTCCTCACAGCGGCTTGACTCGTTAAGAGTTGCACATTTCTCCAAATCTTTATACTCCCCAGTTCCATGAAGGCATCACTGCTAAAGGAGACTTTTATTTAGCGGGTGCGCAAAAAACAAAATGTTTAAAAAGCACATCGCAATAACGTTTCTCCATAAGCAGATAGGAAACTAGGCCCTCCGCTGACCAATCCATCAAAGGTACATGGGAGCCCTGGACGGTGCGACCCCAACGGACCCCGACATTTCTGTGCCCGAACACGACGGTTGTGAAGTGAGTTTTGCTCCCATTTTACAACCTCTCTTGTCCCAGTTGTTAAGTGAATCGCTGCCATTATGCAGTCGATACGGGACTCAATCAGAATAGAGCTGGAAGGGGCCTTGGAGGTCATGTAGTCCAGCCCCCCGCTCAATCACTCAATCAGTATACAGCTGAAAGGGGCCTCGGAGGTCATGTAGTCCAGTCCCCCGCTCAATCCATCAATCAGAATAGAGCTGGAAGGGGCCTCGGAGGTCATGTAATCCAGCCTCCTGCTCAATCAATCAATCAGTATAGAGCTGAAAGGGGCCTAAGAGGTCATGTAGTCCAGCCTCCTGCTCAATCCATCAATCAGTATAGAGCTGAAAGGGGCCTCGGAGGTCATGTAGTCCA